TTTTTATCTAAAAGGACATACTTATAGATGGCGCTACCTATAGAAATTTTATCAAAATCTGTTCAGTAGTTATGTTTTTAAATCAAAATAACTGGTTTTATCACAATTGAAATCGATTTATTTTGTGGATCACAATTCTTAATTATGTAATACTAATATTAAGAAGTATTTTTCATGAATCAAAGATGGAATTACCTTCACAACAAAGTAGACTAAGCTAACTATTCATCCTAGGGGGAAAGGGATTGTTAGTAATGAAGACTGAGAATCCCATTGCTAGCAATATACCCAACCACGTCGACCTCCTCGCGGTTCTCCCTGGAAACTATCATGGTTAATTCCTGATGATTTCATCATGATTGGCCAACTGGCCTGTTTTCATTCTCATCTATCACCCTTCACTGGTGCTCCGCAAGCGTATACCGTTAGCGCAGGCGGGGTTACCATACCATTTTCACCCATCAAAAAAAAAATATTCATCCTCATACTATCTCATATCCATCAACTACATATTTCTCTCAAAAATTATACATTAAGGCCATATTATTTTTAGAAAATACTATATACATTTAGATTACGTTTTCTGCTAGATTAGAACTCGCCTTACGTCCATCACTTACGCCAATATCCAGTCAAGAATTTGATATTTATGGAAAAGGAAAAACTGAGTCACTCCAATTCTTTGTCTGCTTTTGAGCAATCCTTTATTTAATGTATTATTCTGTGTACGACTCCGGAATACCGGAATTTCGCTCATCTGTTTGACGTTTGGAACAAACTGAACTGAGGGAGTGGAATGCAAAAAAATAATACGCTTATTGCGTTCCGTTTCACAGAATAATATTTGTAAAAAGGGTTTTAACTTTAACAAAATTAGTTTTTTTTTAATTATTATTATTATTAAATTATAGAGTACACAGACATAACACCTTAGTACTTAGGAATAGCAACGCATGAAAGGTGTCATGGGCAACACAATATACTATGTTGTCTATGGTACTGTTCATGTCTATAGGCGATGGTTATCACTTTCCGTCAAGTAGGTCGTCAGCTTGTTTGTTAATTTAAGTTTTTTTTTTACAACACAGGGGGCCAACGAGCATGCTGCTCACCTGATGGTAAGTGACTACCGCCGCCCATGGTCACCCACAACACCAACGGCATTGCAAGTGTGCTACCGGCCTTTTAAAAAGGAATATGTTCTTTTCTTGAAGGTTATATTGTAAGTTGTATAAAAAAAGCACACCATCCTGAAGAAACACAAATAAAATAAGAGTATTGTCCATGAATGCGATCAACCGAAAAGAAAATGTTTATTCTCAAAGGTTTTTTTTAATGGATGATAATGGAATGGTAATCCCGCCTGCGCTAAGGGTATAAGCTGGCGGGGCACCAGTGAGGAATGATAGGTGAGAAAGAAAAGGCAGGTCAGTATGACGAATTCAACGATAAATTAGTCACGATAGTTTCCAGGCGGAACCGCGTGGAGGTCGACCTGATAGGGTATATTGACAGCAATGGGGATTAACCTCCCCATTACCAATAATCCCTTTCCCCATTTTGGTGTATTATCATCATATCAGCGTTAACTGTTCATTGCTAAACATAGACATAATATGGTCTATAGATGACGGTATCACTTTTTATCAGGAATTCACCACCATTCTTAGTAGCATGAATGTATTAAGTATAAAAAATTCAGTCAAATTAAGAATTCGAAAAATCATTTTTAAGTCAGTTGTAGATAATTAAAGTTTTTTTTTGGAGCTAAAAATGGTAACAAAACTGCTAGGTCCACCTGATGGAAAATGTTTGACGTCGCCCATAGACATGAAGCACCATAGTCCTCAAATACATTGTGTTGTTCATAGCACTATATTGCCTATGTTTTAGGGTTCCGTACCCAAAGGGTAAAACGGGACAATGTGTTTTATAATATCCTAGTTACTGTAGATCCTGGTTTGCAGGAGTTATAGAGGAATATATGGAGAGACAGTCTCGATTTTGGATCTTATTAGAATAGATTTAGAGTTCAATTACGTTAGACCTGAAATCGTTGGTATAAAAACCCTGAACTCACTGTATGGGGGAATTATATATGAGCCACGTTTCGTGTCATACAAACAAACATTAATGACGTCATTTGTACCAATACGCGCCGGTATGAATATTAAACAGTTTTGTAACAAATATTCGAGTATACAGATATAATTTATATACAAATAAACCGTTTTGTTTACCTTTAATATTTTTATTCGGATGAAATGCTCACAATTTTATTTATTTATTTATTACATGTCACATATATGACATATACAGTAGTGGAAAAAATTAAAGAATAGAAAAAGAGTCAAAATTTTTAGCCAGTTATCAAATAACTGTATTTTTGACAAAAGTTTGAAGAAATTGGAGTAAAAAAACATTGATTTAAAGCTTAAAGTTTCTAATTTTGGAATTTAGTACAAAAAAAAAAATCAAGTAACACGCATATCGCACTTATCTTAATCATGAAAATACAATTGTCAAAATTTTTTTCGATCCTTTATTTGGTGTAGGGGACTTGAAAATTTTTCTACCTTATGGATTGGTATTATTTTTTCCAACTTATGACTTATGGATCATTATTTCGCACGTGTCGCAGTTCCGCATTCTGAAAATCGGTTCAAAGAATGTTTTTTTCAAATATTTTAAAACTTTTCTTTTAAGATTCCAAAATTAGAAACTTCAAGCTTTAAATTGCTGTTTTTTTATTTCAATACGACCCTTTTTTGCCAAAAAATTGGACTGTTTTTTTGATACTTTAATTTTTCCCACTAGTGTATAGTGGTTAATTTAAGTCTCATTTAAGTTCTATGAAAACTGATTATTAAGCTTCCCAGTTGGCAATATTTAGATTACAGTTATAAATCTGGATAGTCAACTGAGACTTGACATTCTCTTTAGAATAATTAGCGACTCGTCCCGGCTTCGCACGGGTGCAATGCTAATACTAAATAGCACCGCCGGACCCCCATTACATTACGACATCACATTAGAAGAAACCTCTAAATTTATCAGTGTTTCTCTACAATATTATGCATGTATGTATGTGTATAATATATATTGTTTATATATTCTGTTTATACTACGTAGTGATTATGTAGATACGTGTATAAGCAGTTAGTTCACCCCAAATATTGATATATGGTATTCCGCTTAATTCCTGAAGGCTCATGGTCCTAAGCCGAGTATTTATTAAGCGAGTAGTGAAGAGTTTCTTGATAGATTACCTCGAATTATATTTGCGGTTTAGTTGCTCTCAATACATACGTACTTGAGTACATATAACTGTATTTAATCACTTAATATATAGCTGTTAGAAAATATCTACAAGTTATATCTGTAACATAATATCTTATTAATATAATAAATGTGAAAGCAGACCAGAAGAGAAACTTTGTACAAAAGTCGTCAGATCGTTTCAGAATTCTTAAAATCAATTTCTAAATGACACAGTTCTGAGTTGACAAACGTAAAAAATACAATTGAATTGAGTAGACCGTCTTTTTTTTAAATCGGTTAAAGATTCTAATTAACAAAGCGAATTAGATCCGAGAGGAATCTTCTAATATCCACAGAAATGTTATTCTCCATTGGAATGAAATTAAATGTAATACAAAACAAGCGCTGTCCGAACGATAGAATTTTAATTACAAATGAAATCTTGTAAAGTTTTATAATTCATTTGTTATCATTGGATGAACAGGGATTGTTATTGGAGAAACTTGTTTTTGAAGTAACAACCGCTCTCAAGTTCGCCTACGTTTCAGAGAACCTTCGAGAATCTCACGTGATATTTTTTAGGGACCTTTCTGAAGTATTTCTTTTATTTTACTTTAATAGGGAAAAAAATTTTTTTATACAACTTAGAATGGCAAACAACGGCCCACCTGATGGAAAGTGGTAACCGTCGCCTATAGACATGAGCAGTACCATGGACATAACAGAGTATACTGTTTCGCCCATGATACCCCCCATGCGTTGCCATTCCTGAGGACTCAGGTGTTATTCCTCTGTACCCAGTAAATTGACGCCATATCCCACCCTTCAAACCAAAACACAGCCATGCAAACAAAACTGCTTCACGGTTGAAACACGAATATTATATCATCATGATAAGTTTTTTTTAACTGTCCAATACTGAATATAAGCTCCTTCCTTGGGGAGTTTTACCAGTGGTTGCTATACTCGGCAGGTGGATTGGCAACCGCAGTTAGGCTTTAGAAAAGGTTTAAGAGAGACGTTCTTCCCATCCTTTGCCCTCCATTAGTCGCCTCTTATCCCACGGAAAAGGAACGGGTGGACTATTCTGTACTGGAACCACGCGTCTATATTATATATAGGAATTCAATATATCCATTACTGGGCAAATATACAGATATTGGCTCGGCTGGGTAGTTGTATGGAAAACTATGCCATATCTTTTCATTCAAAATACCTGAAAGTTTGAAGACGAAGATCTTTAACCAATGTGTGTTACCAAAAATGACCTATGGAACCAAAACATGGTCCAGGCTGCCCGTATGCAAAAGCTCTAAGTTACTCAGCTATCTAAGAAGAGGGATACGCTCAGAGTTTCTTTATGTGACAGAATCCGAAATGAGCATATCCGCAAAAGAAACAAAGTGATCAACATAGCTTGAAGGATAAGCAAGCTGAAGTGAAGAGCTGGTCACATAGCTCTAAGAATAGACAACTGATGGAAAAGAAAGGTTTTGGGGTGGCGACCCTGTACAGATAGATAGTGTAGGACGATCCCTCACAAGATGGAACGTTGAACTTAAATGCGTTGCAAGGAGTCAGTGGATGCAGGTGGCTCAGGAACGTTCCTTCTGGTGGTTTATAGGGGAGGCCTGCGTTCAGCAGTGGACAGATAACGGCTGATATGATGATGATGATGATGATGATGATGATGATGATGATGATGATATAGATATTGCGGTACTCAACCTTACTCATACCTCTTTGTGTAATGTTGTCATACCTGTAACAATAGAAGACAATATTATTATTACCACTTCATTGTATCAACTACTTGTGCTTCCGACTTCGTTCACATATACTATAAAAATTCCGTCACATTATTTTTGTAGGATCTATTCACACTTTTCTTTTTTACGCCATCTAGCGTCTAGTAGAGTTTTTTTGAACGTGCTAAAATTTGGATATATCCGTCAGATTTCAAAAAATATTTTTGTATTTGATAGTTCATTTATTAAGGGAATTTATAATAATAAATGTAATAAATAAATAATAAACTGCTGAATAATCTGAAAGTACATATATCCTTTCAGATAAACAAATTTTCTAACAAATGACGAAGTTAATAACAAATATAAAAAATACAATTAAATTGAGAACTTTCTCCTTTTTTAAAATTGGCAGAAGGTAAAAGTTGTGTAGATAATTAAATAAATTATTATTTTTTAATGTCAAACATCTTTACACAATAATCATCAGTGCTGTAACAATTATTGACTAAAATGATGTAGAACGAAATGATGATGGGGATTACAGTGGCCATTATACATTCCATCAACGAGCAATACTAATACTCGTCCCAGGATGTTTCCGTTTAAAACACGAAGTTAAATTAACTTTAGAACTGTCATGTAAACAGAATTTAAAACTTTCTTTTGATCTCAATTTATACAACTAGTTACCATCTGACACTACGGCGGATCTACGGCGAGGCAATTAAAAAGTTTAAATTAGAAATAGACTCAAAATCTTTGATATTAAAGATGAGGATTGCATGACAGGTTTTAATTGGGGTGACGATATAAAAAAATATATATAATTAATCAACTTTAATTGCAGACTTAAATTTGAATAAACATTACTTTATAAAACACGAATCGAGTTAATTTTATTTTACCCCCAATACTTACATTAAAATTATGATACTTGTCATATATTTCCTTTTATTTTCAAAGTGAAGACAAAAAGAAAATTTGTTTTTAAAACGAGATATATAAAATAAATATAAAGGTATCATCATAAATATAATTGTAAATAATGAGTGGCAAACGAATCCATCGATGGAATCGTAATGGCTAACGATATCATAAAGTAATAAGGACGACGATGCATAATAGTATAGTGTACTGTAGTGTAGTGTAGTATAGTATAGTATAGTGTAGTGTAGTGTAGTGTAGTATAGTATAGTGTAGTTAAGTACAGTGTAGTATAGTGTAGGTAATGAAACCATAAGGTAGAAAGATACAACGACGTCCAATATCTCATTCCAACTCATTGGATTCGCTCGTTATAAGGATTCCGTCAATGAATTTGTTCGCCATTTGTCCAAGTGGGCTGTTCACTTTCTTTCATTCTCCATATAGATATAGTGTAGTGTAGTACAGTGTAATATATTATAGTAGAGTGTAGTACATAAGAGTATAGTACAGTCCATATTCTGTTTTAATAGACTTTAAAGAAAAGGTAGAATGAGACTGCAACGTCCGATGTCTCATTCCAAGTGACTGGCTCGCTTGCAATAATGATTCCATCGATGGATTCCACTTGTCTAAGTTAGTTGTTCTCAGTCTAACCTATTATCTCTTTTTGGTGCTTCTTCACCGTTAGCGCAGGCGTTAACCATTTCATTTTCAACCATAAAAAAGGACATTGATAAAGAATGTACCTCAGTCTAACTACATGAAGATTTACAGAACCGAAAAAGAAAATTTGTCTGCGAATTGAGCCTTCTGTGTACAGACTATAAACATAAGAATAATACCTTATTCATATGCCATAAACGTACCATATTCTTTCCACTTACTGTCATGTTACAAAAGTTATTTATTGTTGGCAACCCTCATCCACACTAAACCCATTCGAAAATGCCTTCTTTAATGCTGTTTTTGTTAGTGGTCAAAACTTTTTTATGTGGCTTCTAGAATAGGAAAATTCTTATTCCGATATGCGAGTGCATCGACAATTTTGTACTGATTTACACAATAATTTTTATAATCTATGGTTTTTTTTTAAATAGATGATAATGGAATGTTTTTTTATGAGTGGAAATGGAATGGTAATTTCGCCAGCGCTATCACTTTACATTGGTGAGGCAACCATAAAAGTGTAAGGCAATTAGCTCATCGTGACGAATTCTACAAGAAATGTGATGCTTTCTCACTGATCACTCTTCACTAATATCCTGCCAACGTATACCAATATTTCAAACATGGGCACCAGAATTACCATACATTTATCGTTCTTAAAAAGAAATGTTTAGCAGTAGATAATTATTTAAGTTAGTTAATTTTTTTTTTGTTATTATTATTATTTCACCCGATAACAGTCCACTGCGGAACATAAGCCTTCCTCATAAAGCTAGTTTTGCAAGTAGTTGCCACGCTTGGCGTGCGAATTGGCAACCGCAGTTAGGTTTTTAGAAATAGATAGATACTCTTTGTTTCCTCCAAAAGATTACAATGTTATAGAGATGTTTTAAGTGGGACGCTGCTGCCCTTCCCTACACCATAAACTTCCTTTGTCGCCTCTTACGACACCCACGGGAAAGGAAGGGGTAGTCCATTCTAAGCCGGGACCTACACGGCTAATTATACATAACTGAAATAAATGAAGCAAAACTTTTAACAGCAAGCACTTTTTGTATTAAAATAAAACAATTTTTCCTTATAAAGAGCCTTTATCAAAACATCAATCGGACAAAAGGTCGCACCACGCTTATATTATATTTGCAAGCGAACTATCCATCTGGAGCATTCCATTTGCTTTATTACAATTCCTATACAATATTAGGGAGACAGGAATGTAGGTCGCGAAGGTCCTTTGGAGAGACTATTAAATGAAACTAAACCAAGCGGTCCCATCTGCGTCGCATCACTTCTTTAATTACCTAAGCCGGATAAATTACAGTTTTGGGTTTATTACGGTGACAGTGAGGGGAATACGAGGTAACGAGCACTTTTACCATCGCGCCAATCCGGTTATCAAAGTTATGGGGTCATATCATGTGCGTCCCATCATGATTCATGGTATTTTATTTTCTTTACTGAAACAGTTTAAATATTATCTAAAATGTAATCTGTACAATAATAAATATAATCTGATCTGTATAATATCAATATTATAAAAAGGAAAGATTTGACTGTTTGTTTGTAATAGATAAATTTAATAACTACTAGAAATATACTATAAATTTAATAACTTACTAACTAAAACCAGTTCCTATCTACTTTATACTATACTATACTATATATATATATATATATATATATATATATATATATATATATATATATATATATATATATATATATATATATATATATGACTGAATATGTTTTGAATGGGCGAAGATGGAATGGTAATCCCGCCTGCGCTATTGGTATACGCTGGAGTACCAGTAAAGGGTGACAGGTGAGGATAAATGTAGGTCAGTTGGTCCATAGTGATCAACTGAACAAGAATTACTTAACCACTACGATTTCTAGGGGAAATCGCTTGGACATTGACCTGATAAGTCCGCCATGTACGCCATATTTGTACTAATGATTAAAAATAAATAAATAGGATGTACTGCAATGGGGCTATTAAATTTCATTACTAACAATCCCTTTCCCCTCAAGAAAATATATTAATACTAGTATATTAAAAAAGTGGAAGGATTTGATTATACTAAATCGATTTTTAAACTCCTTTACACACAGGAAACTACATTATGAGCGAATAACATGGGTTGTATCTTATTTTCAAAAAGTTGTATAAAGCCGGGGCGTATCGCTGGTATAGGATATATTTCTATACTAGATGTGATACAATTAAATGTTCAAGAAAGGTGTTATTAAAACTCAGACCAATGCTTAAGTGCAGAAGATTCCCAGATATTGGAATAGAAGAGGAAATACAATACCTAAGTTAATATTGGCCGTCTCTTAATAAATAGCAATAAGGATAATGCTGGATGACAGAATAGTAATGTCTTAGATTATATAGATAGAGTATCGAGTGTAAAAAAACGCGTCAACTTTTACTTAGCTAAAGGTAAATTAGTTTACACTTTATTTACCAGAGGGAGACTTTGTACAAAAGTCGTTTGCTTAGGTACCTCTGTCTCATTCGTGTTTCAACCGTGAAGCAGTTGTATTGCATGACTGTGTTTCGGTTTGAAGGGTGTGATAGGGTGGTGAATTTACATTGTATAGAGGAATACCACCTGAGTCCTCAGGAATAGCAACGCATGGGGGGTATCATGGATGAAACAGTATACTCTGTTATATCCATGGTACTGCTCATGTCTATAGGCGACGATTACCACTATCAATCAGGTGGGCTGTCAGCTTGATTGCCATTCTAAATTGTATAAAAAACACTTTTATTTATACTAAAATAAACGCACTTTATTTTTAGTGTTGCAAGTACTAAGATTAAAAATTTCCCAGATTTTACTTTCCAGACTAGAATTAGAAACTATTTTTTTTTCTATAATATAAATCTACAAATTTAAGTGTTTCGAGGTGGATATGAATAATAATCTGACTCCAATTTTAAATGATTATATTTTAAAAGTTACAAATAAATTTTATGCGCATGTCCTATGTAGTGGACGTCGAAAGAGGTACAGGCGAGCCAACCTCAATTGGACAGCGAGCCGATCGCTAGTGTTGTGCGCCGACATTAAGTATTGTTTACAAATTAGAATACGTGCATATAAATAAAATAGCGGCCGTTCTCAATTGTTTAAAAACCAAAACATATTTTATGTTCTTTATTCAGTATATTTTATAATATATAAATCAAAATATAGTATTATATAAATCAAAGTATTCAGTAAAAATAAGATAATCATAACAAATCGTTATGGACTATTTATTTGTTTTTTTTTTTTTTTAAATGAATGATAATGGAATGGTAACCCGCGCTGTCGGTATACACCGGCGGGGCACCAGTGAAGGATGATAGGTGAGGATGAAGTAGGTTAGTTAGCCCATCGTGACGAATTCAACAAGAATT